GTGTCATACTTATCTGTGGCTCCCGATTGTCTTCTAGATACAGTTTAAAGCCCTTAACCTGGTGCACCTGAACCTTCATGGTCTGGGCAAGGGGTCCCCAACCCTTGAGCTGTGGACCGGTAGTGGTCCGAGGCCTGTTAGGAACTGGGCCGCACAGCAGGAGGTAAGTGGCGGGTGAGGGAGCGAAGCTTCATCTGCCGCTCCCCACCGCGCCCCATCGCTCGCATTACCGCCTGAACCATCCTCTCCCCACCCCACGCCCCTGGTCCATGGAAAAATTGTCTTCCACGAAACTGGTCCTTGTGCCAAAAAGGTGAGGACCGCTGGTCTGGACCATCTTGAGGCAACTCCACCCGCATCTCCTCTGCACTGTCAGCCCATTCTATCTGTATGTAGCTCAACCAAGCTACTTTCAGGAGATGGCTATTTTCTGGCATTTTAAGGTGTCTTTGCAAATGCTGTTCCTTTTGCTTGCCTTGCCCTGCATGTTTTGTAGCATTGCTTCTCAGACTTGAGTGTGCTTTGTATCATCTAGAGTGCTTGTTAAATCGCAGATGCCTGAGCCTCACTCCCAGACTTGATGATTCACTAGGTGTGGGGTAGGGCCTGGGCTTCTGTATTTCTGATGAGTCCCCAGGTGATACAGATGCGGGCGGTTGGTGGAATGACTCCCAGCCGTGGAGCTCCAGAGTTCCCTGTCTCACCACAGCTCACACCTCACTGTTTTGCGATTGCCCGTCTTTCTCCCTCACTGGATTCTAGGCTTCCTGGGAAAAAGAATGTGTTTGACCACCAGAGAGTATCCCTAGTGACTAGTGTCTGGGATGTTGGTGATGTTGAATAAGTGTCTGTGAATGAATGAATGAATGAATGAATGAGCAGGTCAGTGTTTCTGCAGCAAAGTTCACATCATTTGGCTTCTTGTAGTATAGATTAGCTTTCTTTTGGAATATTTCGGCTTCAGGGAACGTGGAATGTGATCCGCCCCTTCCACCTGTCTCTGAAATCACTCACTTAATGAATAAGGAACTTGAAACCTCTCCATAGAGATCAGACCGTGGGACCGACAGGGATGTCTGTTGATAGATCTCAAACTTTAAAATATGAAATGGGGACTTCCCTGGTGGTGCAGTCGATAAGACTCTGCGCTTCCAGTGCAGGGGCCCTGGGTTCCATCCCACTGGATCCCACATGCATGCTGCAACTAAGGAGCCTGCCTGCCACAACTAAGACCTGGTGCAACCAAATAAATAAATATTAAAAAAGATCAAGTTATTCTTTAAAAAAATAAAATAAAATATGAAATGGACTCCTAGGCTTTCTTTCATTACACGCAGCATAGAGTAGTGTTTTTGCATCTCTTTCAACATAAGACATACCCCTGAAGTTGTTAGAGCCCGTCAGTAAGTGGCCCCCACCCGACTTTTGTAGTGTCTGTGCTGAGCCTGCTAGGGGCTATGTGCAGAATGAAGGCTAAGATGATATGGTTCTCGCACTCCAGATCGAAACCTGAATGAAGATATTTAACAAACAGCACTTTAAATGTTCAAACTGTGTGATACTTAGCATACTTATAATAAGGATTCTTATTTTCTAAGATGCTCAAATCACTTGATTTATCAAATCAATTCAAAACATGCAGTGAGAAGCAAGGGGAAAGAGATGGGGGTAGGTTAAGATGTTTCGGGCAGGCTGGTAGAAGGACCAAACCAGATATGGGTTGCCTGGTGTTCACATGCCCTCTCTCATTGTTGGAAGGCACTTAAAAAAAAAAAATTTATTTATTTTTGACTGCGCTGGGTCTTTGTCGTTGCGCGCGGGCTTTCTCTAGTTGCGGCGAGTGGGGGCTAGTCTTTGTTGTGGTGTGCAGGCTTCTCACTGCAGTGGCTTCTCGTGTTGCGGAGCACGGACTCTAGGTGTGCGGGCTTCAGTAGTTGTGGCTCGCAGGCTCTAGAGTGCAGGCTCAGTAGTTGTGGCATACGGGCTTAGTTACTCTGCGGCATATGGGATCTTCCCGGACCAGGGCTCGAACCTGTGTCCCCTGCATTGGCAGGCGGATTCTTAACCACTGCACTACCAGGGAAGCCCTGGCACTTTTGGTTTTAAGGAGCAGGAATTCTCCTTGTCAGCTCTTAAGTTTTCTTGAGAAGGAGGAAGGGGTTGGGGTTCTCATGGGAATCCAAGAAATGAGAGACGAGGATTGACCCAGTGGTCCCCAGGAATGGGAGTTCTTGGTTATTCATGTTTGTTCTGCCATGAACAGACTAGTTGAGTTTGCTTCACTGTCCATTTACCTTTTCTTTTGGCTGCCAGCAGCCACCCTCACCCCGGACTCTTTCTAGTACTTGCGTTCCTCACAGATTCTGCTTGTGCTCACTTCTTGCTCCCTTGTGACTTTAAGTCACAACCCCGCCCTGCTATGCATCTGCTCAGGGACTGCTTTCTCTGCTTGTTGATCTTTCTACTTTTTATCCACATCCACAAGAATGAGCATCTGGTGCAGCTTGTTCTCGCTAGAGAAAAGCTTTCTGTGCCAGAGCATCCCAGGGGCCAGCAACTGTGAGGCCACCCACACTTACTTGGATTCAGCTGGGGGAGACCGGGCATGAGGTGGGCCATGCTGTGCACATGTGGTTCCAGACCCATCTTCGTAGCCAAGCTGAGCTGGGGGTTGGGGGCAGGTAGCGCCTCTGCGGTGGCTGTGGGCCTGGCAGGTATGTCAGAGAGTCCTTTGGGGCCATGGCACTTGAGGATGGGTAGGATTTTCTTTTAATTAATTAATTAATTAATTTTATTTTTGGCTGTGTTGGGTCTTCGTTTCTGTGCGAGGGCTTTCTCTAGTTGTGGCAAGTGGGGGCCCCTCTTCATCGCTGTGCGCGGGCCTCTCACTATCGCAGCCTCTCATTCCGGAGCACAGGCTCCAGACGTGCAGGCTCAGTAGTTGTGGCTCACGGGCCTAGTTGCTCCACGGCATGTGGGATCCTCCCAGACCAGGGCTCGAACCTGTGTCCCCTGCATTGGCAGGCAGATTCTCAACCACTGCACCACCAGGGAAGCCCAGATGGGTAGGATTTGAGTGGGCTGGGATCAGAGGAAGGGTGGTCTGGGGAGAAGGCACAAACTTGACCCATGAGGAGAGAGCATGTGGGCTATCAGAAGCCTGATATGAGTGACCAAGGAGGAGGCTGGATTATAAGGGCCCTAAAAGCCAGGTGGAGGAGGGGGATTTGTTTTATTGGGCAATAGGTCATCCTGAAAGCTTTTAAGCAGAGGAATCGGTCACTTTCTCCTGTCCATTTCTTATTCCTGCTCTCACATTAGACTTGAGACCTGCTAAGAGACCACTGATGCCACTCAGGGATCAAGTAATATGGGAGAGGAAATAGGGTGAGCAGATGGTTATGGGATGACACTACCAGCAACGACTGGGTATGGCAGCTTCGGTTCCAGGTGGGAAGGAGAGTGCATTTTAGGGGAGTAGAAGCTTCCATGTCAGCACCAGGAAATGCAGCAGCCAATACCTAGCATGGAGATTTTGGCAACAGATTAAAAAAAAGTGGGCACTTACTTGCTGACTGCAGGGGTTCAGTGAAGGATATGGGCATGTCCCTTAAGCTCTCTGAGCCTTGGTTTCCTCATCTGGGAAAAGGATACTAATACCTGCTGTGTCTACCTCTCAAATGTTTGAGGTGCTCAGGTGAGATAGGGGTGTATGAAATGCTTTGTAAATTTCAAAACACTCTATGAATTTAAGGCATTAACTACTGGATAGTGACTTTCAGGGCATTTAAAAACGGTTTGATTTAGATTTAGTGGAAACTCATCTAGTATGCAAACTTCAAAGATGCCATCTTAAGGTCATATCACAGCTCAAACTTTTTACAGAGTTGTTTCTTCTCTGAATGGCATCAGAGGAGAGCCAAGTGTTCCAGGGAAGAGTTACTTCCAGAATGTGGCGTGTGTTTGTTGGGGAGGTTGAGGCAGGGGGCAGAGACGGTCTGCTGTCTTTTCTGGGGATAGTGAGTAGAATACCCTCCTAATAATTAATTCCTTGGTAGTGTGTTCATTCAGAAGCAGGCACCTTGATGGGTATTAGTAGTAATACCTCTCCCCTTCTTTCCTAGTCTCCTTTTGTCTTAAAGGCTCACCCTCCTTGTGTTTACCTTTTAGTTCCATGAAGGTGGCCCTTGGCAAGTAGCACCTTAGCCTTAGGGTAGATGGGAGGGATGCAACAAAGCCCTGTGCTACTCCTTCCAGAATCACCATTTTTGCTTCTTTCCCCATTGCTTAGCAGAGCTCTTTTCTCCTGCACTACTACTTTGGTTCTCTGTATCCTTAAAATCTCAAATTTGGCTTGCATGCCCCCTAGTGGCAGGTCGGATGCACCCCTTGTTACCCTGTTTGTTGTGGTACCATGACAGCCCATCTTTGCACTCAGCTCTATTACTCAGTAGAACCCCCAGTTCACACATGTGGAAGGAGAGGTTTGGTGATCCTGACTTGCCACTCAGGTGGGACCTGCGGACGTGGGACTTGATTCGGAGCTTTTGATTCCCAGATTTATACAACGGGAATGCCTCAGAAAGAAAGATGGTGTGGTTATAGCTGTTCTAGATTTTAAAAAAATTGTTTAAAAAGAATCTAGATTATCTTACTATCTACTCAACTAATTTGAAAGGATCAAAATGTGGTGAATATTTGAAGAAAAGAACGATTGTATTTTTTTCCCCTTCATCACATTGGAAAATCTTTTGTCACTCGCCCAAGTGTTCAGTATTTCATGCTCAGGCCTGTTAACCACTTTGGGAAATACAAAAGAAAGGTATAAAGCATGATATCTGACCTTCAGAAGTTTACATTCCCATTAAATTCTACTCACAAGGTGTTTAAATTCATTCCCTTGAGGAAAAAAATAATTATAATGCTTGGGTTTAATATTTCTACTTCGTTTCACAAGAGACAGATTCTGTGAGCATCTGCTTATTGATTTCTTTTTAAAGTCCTTTTCAGTGGAGAGAGAACTGCAGGATAACAACAGTAGTTACCCAGATGAACCCTGGAGGATAACGGAAGAGCAGCGAGAGTATTATGTCAACCAGTTCCGGTCCCTTCAGCCTGATCCGAGTTCCTTCATTTCAGGTAACAAAGTCTGGCGGGTGAGAACACGGGTCCCAGTTCACTGTCTCACATAAATAACAGCGCCTATCTTGAGAAATAGTCCACACAAAATGAGTACAACAACCTTCTATGATTTTAGTTTGTTTTTCTCTGAGGTTGAATGTCTCATCAATTATAAACCATGCAGAAAAACACTTGGCAATGATATTGGGAAAGTTATGTTTCCTTTTCAAAGGGGGGTTAAATGGGAATTTGGAGCATCCTGGTTCAGATCCTGTGCCTTATTAGCTGGAGCAGTTCCTGAAATTAGTGCCGCACCTTTAATTGCATACTCACTATGTTGGTATTACAGCAAGGACATAGTGTAGCCTCCCAAAGAGTTGCTGTCACAGGTCTCCTTATGTTATATACACCTTAGAGTTCAAGTTCATGTTCGTTTTCTTTGGCTGCAGTCTTTCTCCTCTGGTTTTTCTGAGAGAAAATATGGGAGGAAAATTGGCCAGCATTTTTATGTCCACATGTTAGTTCTTCTGGGTTATCTTCAGAAATACATATTCCTATTGAATTCTCATGCAAAATTCAAGCTGAGAGGAACTGATTTAATTCCCACGTGCCTACATTTCACCCGGCTGAAGACTAAACAAACAGTGAAATAGTAGAGTCTGGAAGACAAATTCATAAAACTTTCTTTTTATACTTCAATTGTGAAGAATAACAATATGTCCTTGATAATTGTAACCTGACATATCGCAGTGTGGACTAAGATTAATTTTCTCTCGTGAAATAAGGTGCGTAGTTGAAATGTACCTGTATAAACGCAGATATCATTTTCTGGTTGGTGGTAATGGCTTTATTTGAAGGCAGACTATTGTAGATACAAAAAAATTAACGTTGACAACATGATTTTAAAAAAAAGCAGAAATCCACATTGCATTTATTGACCACTTGCTAACTTTACCCACTGCTTAAGTGAGTTTTTTCACAATGTATGCAGATATTTAGCCAAATACAAATAGGTAGCTGTTAGGAATGTTTTTATTTTCTTTTAACCTTTTCATTTTGCAGAATTTCAAATACAGACACAACTGATGTGGCTAGTATAACAAACTCCTATGTACCTATCACTCAGCTCTCACAATTTGGTTTTATTTATACCCTCTCTCAGCCTAGACGGTTTTGAAGCAATTACCAGACTATTTCATTTGAAAATATTTCAGGATGTATCTGTAAAGATAAGGCCTCTTTTAAAAACATAACCACAACTCATTAGCACATTAAAAAAAAAACCCCACAAATTACTTAATATCAAGTCTTGTTCAGATTTCCCCATTTGTCTCACAAATGCCTTTTAAAAAAGTTTAGTTTGATCAAGGTCAGGAGAGGTTCATACATTGCAATTAGTTGATGTCCCTTTTTAGAAAGCATCTTTATTTAGATGTAATTTACATACTCTAAATTCACCCATTTAAAGTGTACAATTCAATGATTTTAGTGTAGTATAGTCACAATCTAGATTTAGAGCACCTTCCCCCAATAAACTACCTACTTATTAGCATTTATTCCCCATTCCTGC